GAAGAAAAAAAAACTAAATTGAGAGATAAAAAGTCACAATTACCTCTATATCGTGTAAAAGAAAAAATGAGCTCACAAACGGTTTTAAAAATGGAATGCAAAAAAATGGAATTAAACATTAAATAGTGAAGAAGAAAGACTAAAATAGTTTTTTTTAATAAAATGTACTCCAAAAATCTTTGAAAAATCCTTTTTTTAGTGTGTGCTTTAGCATGTTAGTCAACACATTAAAATAAGTGTACAGCTTCAAAATTTTTAAATTTAATGATGAAAAATGTACTTTAAAGCAAAACTTTCAAATTGACAATTTCAAATGTCATTTTTTTAAAGTGCACTTAAGTGTGTGCCTTTTATTTCATTAATATATTATCTGCAGGTACAGTGTAAAAATAGACTTAAGATTTGAAGTCTGTTCACTTCTAAGGTGTTGTGAGTGTTGCTATGCGGTTGCTAGGGTGTTTCTAGGCGAGTGTCTATTATCTCGTGGTGAACTCTGGAATAACAATAGTTCTGTATCAGTCCGGCTAATGAAGGATTATTTGACTTCTTTCTTTTCTTTCAGATGAAAGATGCACCATTGTGTCTGTCTCATGTCTGTCTCTCTCTCACACAAACACACACACACACACACTCACACACACACTCACACACACACACACACACACACTCACACACACACTCACACACACACACACACACACACTCACACACACACTCACACACACACACACACACACACTCACACACACACTCACACACACACACACACACACACTCACACACACACTCACACACACACACACACACACACTCACACACACACTCACACACACACACACACACACACTCACACACACACTCACACACACACACACACACACACACTCTCACACACTCACACACACACGCACTGATGAGAGATTCCTCATCTCTTTATGTTCTGCTACAATAGCTCTTTGTTAAACACATGGAAAGGAATCTCTTTCTCTCTTTTCGCTCTCAGTCTGTCTTTTATCAAATCTAGTCTTGTTCATTCTCAAAAACACAAAAAAAGTAAAATATGACCGACTGATAACAAGAATCATGTCTGTGATTTTCCAGCAGGATTCAGTGATCTTGCAGAATGTCTGTCCATCTGTGATTCTCTCGTTCTTTCACAGGACAGACGTATATCTGTCTTTTGTTGTGCCGTCCTGCTGTCGGTCATCAGAAACTCCCACCGGCAGATGTTTTACAGTGTCGTCCTGAAACTGACTGGATGAGCGGAGCTGATGACCGAACGCATACATGAGCTCTGAAGCGCGAGCGAATTGAATTCATCCTCTACAGAGGGACAGACAGTGAGTGACCCGTCTCACCTCTGGGTTTCTATTACCAGTCACTAAAACTAAAACCATAAAAACACAGTGTCGTTACTTGAAATAAAAGAACAGTTAACTGAAATAAAATATTTAAAAAAAAAAACCTAAGCGTATTTTATTTCATCTAGTTGCCATGGCAACATTTATCATTTTTATTTATTTAAACATTAAGTACTAAAATAACTGTTAATGTATTAGAAATTAATATACAAACGTAATTAAAAATATAGTAAATAATAAATATAACACAAATGCTTGAAAAATTATTTAAAAAATGAGTAAAACTTGAAAATGAAAATAAAATAAAATCTAATTCAAAATAATAACTAAAACTATAATATATCAAAAATACTAAAATAACTAGTTTATCTTTAATATTACTTTTTCCCCTTATTTTATAAAAATGATTTTAAAAAATTACTAAAACTTTAAATGAAAACAGATATATATATAAATCTAATTCAAAATATTAACTAAAACTATAATAGTGTCAAAAAACTGCACAGGGACACGAAGGCTGAGGATCCAAGTGCAGTAGTTTATTAAAGTCTAATCAAGTCACCTTTATTTATATAGCGCTTTAAGCAGCTTTACAGTGTCAAACAGGAAAATAGTTTGTCAATAATGCAAGAAGACATTAAAAAAGTCAATTTTTCAGTTAAGGTCAGTTCATTGATGATTCAGTTTTGTCATCATCCAGTTCAGCTCTCTTCCAATAGTGTCTGTGCAATCAAGCCGACAATACTGCCAGAAATTAAGCTTCCCCAACTAAGCAAGCCAAAGGTGACAGTGGCAAGGAACCGAAACTCCATCGGTGACAGAAATGGAGAAAAAACCTTGGGAGGAACCGGACTTCTTATGGAAATTGTTCACGATTCCAGTTGACCTAATTAATGCAGCCTAACAATACTTTAACGGATTTGAATTATAGAAAAGTGATCGTGTGTTACGTGTATGCCAGGTTAAAGAGATGGGTCTATAATCTAGATTTAAAATGACAAAGTGCATTCCATTAGTTTTGCAAATAGGTATGTATTGTCGTGCTGCAAACAAATATAGAGCTGAGTATCATCAGCATAACAGTGAAAGCTAACACCATGTTTCTTGATGATATCTCCCAAGGGTAACATGTAAAGTGTGAAAAGCAGCGGTCCTAGTACTGAGCCTTGTGGTACTCCATACTGTACTTGTGATCGATATATCTCGTCATTTACTGCTATGAATTGATGATGGTCAGATAAGTAAGATTTGAACCATGACAATGCAATTCCACTAATGCCAACATAATTTTGTAGTCTACTCCAAAGAATGTTGTGGTCGATAGTGTCGAACGCAGCGCTAAGATCCAGGATCTATGACTTCTAGAAGCACCTCTTTTAGTAGCTTAGATGGTATAGGGTCTAACATACATGTTGTAGGTTTAGATGATTTAACAAGTTTATACAATTCTTCCTGTCCTATAGTAGAGAATGAGTGGAATTGTTCCTCAGGGGATCTATAGTGCACTATCTGATGCGATACTGTGGCTGACGGCTGCATGGTTATAATTTTATCTCTAATAGTATTGATCTTGGAAGTAAAGAAGTTCTTAAAGTCATTACTGCTGTTCTGTTGAGAAAGGTCTGCATCTGTTGATGCTTTATTTTTCGTTAATTTAGCCACTGTATTGAATAAATGCCTGGGGTTGTGTTTGTTCTCTTCTAAGAGAGACGAAAAGTAAGTAGATCTAGCAGTTTTTAGAGCTTTTCTATAAGTAGAAGTACTTTCCCTCCATGCAATACGAAATACCTCTAGTTTTGTTTTCTTCCAGCTGTGCTCCATTTTCCGGGCTGCTCTCTTTAAGGCGCGAGTGTGCTTGTTATACCATGGTGTCGAACTGTTTTCCTTAACCTTCTTTAAGCGTAAAGGAGCAACCGTATCTAACGTGCTAGAAAAGAGAGAGTTAATAGTTTCTGTTACACCATCAAGTTTTTCTGAGCTATTAGATTTGCTGTGGAATTGAGAAGTCAGGAAGATTATTTACAAAGCAGTCTTTTGTAGTAGAAGTGATGGTTCTACAATATTTGTAACAAGGAGTTGAATGTGCAGCCATATGGAGTATACACGAGACTAGATAATGATCCGAGATATCATCACTCTGCTGCAGAATTTCAACACCATTAACATCAATTCCGTGTGACAGTATTTAATTAAGAAAATCACTTTGGCTCAGTTTTGATCAAATCTTATACTTGGAAGTCATTATGGTTTATATATATTTTTTTGTTTATTGTTTGTTATCTTACTATTTGTTATTTTAATATTATTTGTTGCTCATATTTGTGAACTCTATTTGCAGTCTTTTTTTTTTTTTTTACACTGTTTTCATTGTGTGCAGACTCACAGCAAATGCTTTGGCTGTACAAATACACTGTTGCATCTGTTTGAATCTGTTTTCTATTAAGTGTTCTATTAGATTTTTTTCATTTCTTCATGGTGTTTGTTGTGAATATCTGTCAGACAGACTGACTCCGTCACATGAATTAGCGGCTGTATCAGTGTTAGATGACACATGTTCTCTCTCTTTGGGGGGGATTTCATAATTATAATTATCATGTCCATCATCCAAACCGAGCTGAGGAAACACAAACAGATGTTGTGTAATAACAGCTCAGAGTGCTGATCTCAGGTCAGATGCTGGAGTCTTTCACCACATATTTGAAATGTCTGACACTCCGGTTCACTGCAGTAATGAGTTGAATTAGGTGTGTTATGAGAGACGACCAAAATATGCCATTTTGTCGGGTTCCAGAACCAGAGACAGAAATGAACCAGGGTTTGGGGCAAAACGCTGCCTATCTTTAATGTCTTATTTTTTAATGTATTTAACATATTTAATTATTCAAAATATGAAAATATGAGTTGAAACCATATTGATCAATTATTTTATTCAAGTATTTGACACACACACACACACACACACACACACTCACTCACTCACTCACTCACTCACTCACTCACACACACACATATATACAGTATATATACTTATTATATTTAAAATATATTTATAAATATGATGACATTTTGATAATCGATTATTTTATTCAATTTAAGTATTTGAAATGAATAGAAAAATGCAAATAAAAATGCCATCATAAAGTTAATAAAAATCCCTAAAAAATAAATTATATTGAGCAAATATTGCCTCTTAATAATAACAAATTAAATAATGAATAATACAAATTAATAATAATAATAAATTTAAACCACTGGTGTACTAATATATGATCTAGTGCATGAAAAGACCTGTTTAATGTACAATAATTTGATTACAAAAACGGTACAATTCTGACAGGCTAAATAATAGGCTACAATAATAATCATAAAATAATGCAGTTATTAGAAATATATGACAAAATACTGCTTTTTTTGTATCACTTCATAAAACTCACATAATATCATGAATAGAAATCTAAATATGTTTATATACACATTTATTTAAAATATTCATTAATATCATTCAATCCTTGTTTTGTCAAATTGAAAGCAGCGGTGTGTTGTTGTGGCGCGCTGAGGGTGTGATTGCGCATGCGTCCTGCAGGCGGCGCCGCGTGAGACGCGCTTCGGGCGGTCAGCGAGCGTCACTCCGCGCGCAGACAGATGAACTTCGGCGATGCTGCTGACGGGACTCACAGAACTCTCTCGCTGCGTCTGAAAGTGCGAGAAACTTCTTTAAAGCGGCCTCTGCTGTATTATAGCGAAACCCGAAGACGGTAATGACGGGAGCTCGCGTGTGTGCGGTGATCGCGCTCGTGATGTGCGTGTCCGGCGCGTGTGAGGCGGGATGCGCGGACAGACCGACGCCGAGATGCTGTCCGGGACGGAATAACGAGTGCGTGGAGAGGAGCGCGAGGAGGACCGTGTGTTACTGCGACACGTACTGCAGGAGGAGCGGCGACTGCTGCGACGATTACCGGCCCGTGTGCCACATATCAGGTGAGTCCGTTAAACCGTTCCGTTCGAGTAACCGTTAAACGGCGTGACGTCACGCCGCTGTGATTGACGTGCGTCAGTTTAAACCTTTTATATAAAAAGGTATATATATAAAGTGTCAGACACGAATAAAATAAGAAATATCATCTAATTAATCTGTTACTTCTATGTAGTACACATAAATGAAAGTATAGGTGAAATAAGCCTTTGTTTTTAATTTTATAAGACTACGTTTTGTTCAGTTTAAAGAGAAACAAGAAAAAACCGTGTTACTGTTTGTAAAAAATTTAATAATTTTTTATTTAACTTGTATCATTTGATTTTATTTTTATTTTTAACTGTTTTTGTTTATTCTTTTGTGTACCTTGGCTTTAACTTTCTTGTAAAAAAAAAAAAAAAGATTTATAACTTTTTTTGTCAGCAAAACCCTGTTGACATAAAATATTTACTTACATTTTTAAGTTAATATTTCGTTAATCTAGCGACACCTTCACGTGTCAGTCACGTGACATGCAGGTAAACAAGAAAATATATATATTTTATATATATATATATATATATTATATATATGAAATCATGCCATTCCAAACCTCATTGCTTGCTTCCATTGACTTCTATTGTATTTTCTATAATGGAAGTCAATGGGAACCAAGATGACTGGTTAGTAAATTATGGTGGACTATCCCTTTAAATACAACTTTGGAAGATTTGGGATGTAGTGCACAAATCAAATGAATTATTTCTTTAATGTCTTTAATTGAAATCTGATCTGATATTTTGAGGAATGTTGGTGACCTATAACATAATATGGACAAAAAATGGAAGTCAATGGAAACTGAAACTGTTTGGTTACCAACATTCCTTAAAATGCTTTCCTTCGTGTTACACAGAAGAAAGAAAGTTATACAGGTTATACGATACGAGGCCAAGTAAATAATGGCAAGTTTTCATTTTTGGGTGAACTGTCCCTTTTTAAGTCATTATTACTGAAAAAAATTTTCTAGCTGTAACAAAATCACAAATCGAAATCTCGCTTGTATTACGATTTGAACAGGATTTTTCAGTGAATAATATCTTAAACTTGGGTCTGTTTCTCACACAATGCATCAAATGACTTCAGAAGATTGGGAATATAGTGCACAAGTCATATGAACAAGTGTTATGATGCTTTTATGTTCTTTTTGAAGCTTAAACTCATGTTCGCCATTCGTTTTTGCTGTATATGAAAAAAAGCATCTCCTTTCGCATTCTACAGAACTAAAAAAAACAACATATAAGGGTGAATAAAGCATGACAGAAGTTTGCTATTGGATAATTCAACTAAAAATTAAAATTCTGCCACCATTTGTTCAAAACGTGGTTCTAAAGTTGGTCTTTCGGCTCACACGTCTGCACGAGATTGTTGGGAGTATTGACAGAAATCAGCGGCTCAGAAACAGCTGGTGTCTCTGAGTAAATGACGAGTGAAGTATGTGTGTTGGGTTATTATCACAGCCGTCATTATCTGTCTGTCTGTCTCTCACCTGCCTCAACTACAGCAACAGCTCAGAAACGGCTTCAAATGCACCGTATGTATGTATATATCCCATCAGCCCATCGCAGGAGCTAGAAAACATCACAGCATTCTGCTCCGTATATGACAAAGGGGTTTGTGTTTTGACTTGAGGGAGGTCTTGAGCGTCTTCCAGGTTTGTTGGAGCTCAGAGTTGCTCAATCATCTTTGTTTATGCTGTAAAACTCAGTCACTGAGACTATAAAGCCTCTGAAAGCAGAGCATGACTGTAACACTTCAGTCACACTTATGTCTGAATGTCAGCGCATTAGATAAGAGCATATCAAAATGAGTGTGATTTGATTGAAAAGAAAGCTGCACAAAGAGTTTACAAGCAAAACATTTGACAAAAGGAGTTTGATATTTAAAAAAAAAAATAGTTTTGAAAAAGTGCACACGTCTCTCAAATAAAGTCAACAGTTCTTCAGAGTTCACTCATGCATCTGCATGCCTGATTCTTCTGATTCTCATCCAAGCCGGACGCTGTTGGCAGGTTTGCTGTTGTCTTTGTGATCGCTCGTCGCCGTCGTCGTTTTTATTATGTTTTTATTATGACTAATGTTGGACTGGAGGGATTCGGTTGGTTTTGGTTTGTTCACGTCTCTAATAACAGCTTGATCTGATTCATTCAGACACATACACTCCCTCAGCCATGATTACTGCCATGTGTGTGTGTGTGTGTGTGTGTGTGTGTGTGTGTTTGAGCTGCTGACTCGATATATATATATAGCTGAGGAAAACGAATATGCAAAATATTTTGCTAACAGAAAAACAAAACTCTTAAGCAGATTTATGAGTTTGGGTGTGTTTTAGGGCTGGGTGATATTGCTAAACAATTATAGCTTGGTATTTTTCAATTTTTTTTGGCTTTTTATATATCTTGGTATTTACGCATTTGCTTATAAATGGCTTAAAATGGTGATTTTATTCAATTATATCAGTCCACCACATGCTCACTTAAGATGATTCAAAATGTTTAATGTAAGAATTAAAACAGTGAAGTTTTGTTAAATGAATAAAAGGACCAATAACAATAGGAATAAAAAACAAATATAATAATACAAGACAAAGTTAAAAAAAGAAACAATATTAACCTACGTTTTTACTAAAATAATGCGAATATAGTATTATTTTAGTAAATATGTTTTATATTAATGTCATATTTTTACTATAATATATATATATATAAACGCAGTAACATAAAAATACATACATGTACAGAAGGATATGAAATTTTTGAAATGTCTGAAGAAGGACGTCACATCAACAACATGGAGCAAACAAACACATAGTTCTGAATAAAAATAACAACAGCAGACAGTATTTCTAATATTATTAATAATAATTAAAATTATATAAAATGAAGAATATCAAATAAAGCAAATGAATGAACCATTTCGTATGGTGTGTAAGGTGTATATTTAGCAGCTAGTTTGACTGCCATCTCATCCTCCGAGTATATAGCGTAGTTTCACTGAGTCATCCAGAGAAGAAAATGAACAATTCAATACTTCAAATTGTGGAAAGTCGTATGGTGTGTAAGGTGTATACATATTTTGCAGCTAGTTTGACTGCGATCTCGGAGAAGAAAATGAACAATTCAATACCTCAAATCGTGGAAAGAATATTTGTGTTGTAGTGGTGTATTTGGGGCAGACAAGAAGAAAGTGTTTCTCATCCTCTATTTGATTTAAGTCACAGTGCTTGCATAGTCGCTGTTCTCTCGCTGTTCTCTCTTCTATATCTTCCTTTCTCTATTTCTAAGTCGTGGTCGCTGAGTCGATATTTTGAAAGGATTTGTCTTTCTTTTAATTGTTTGATTGATAAGTAATTTGCCAATTTGGTGGTTCTATTTAGGGCCGAATAACACTGCAGTTTGGTTCAACTTTGGAGGTCAAATTCGTTTTCAAAATTATACTTCAGATTTTTGTCAATGTCTTTATGAACGTTGGGGTTGTGATTGGAGTCAGACTCAGCTTGAGTTTCCTTCATTAGCTGAAGCACGAGTGTATTTAGAGGATGAGACACTGTGGGTTCTGTTTAGGGTTGAGTAGCATTGGAGTTTATTTTGGAGGTCAAAGTGTATTTTTAGAGAATCATCATGTGTGTCTTTTAGATTTTTGTCAATTTCTTTAATAATGGCTTTGGGGCTGAAGCTGTAGTCAGTGAGGAGCTGGGTTTTCTGGACTAGCTGAAGAGCGAGCGTGTTTAGAGGATGAGATTCTGCTGAGGTTTCATTGGCGAGGAGGGCTTTATATCGGATTGAATCAGGATCAGATTGATGGAGGTGATGCCAGAACTGAACACATCTCTTCTGGATCTCAATCTTCAGTGGGTAGAAGCCTAATTCAGCTCTGCAGGCATCATTGGACGTACCTCTATGGACCCCTAAAACGTTTTTGATCATTTCTAGTTGTAGTTTTTCTATTGAAATTTTATCCCAATTCTTAAAATGTATTACTGGTCCCCAGATTTCACTCCCGTACAGTAGAATTGGTTTAATGATTGCGTGATATAATTTAATCCATGTTTTAATTGGTAATTTTAATTGGCCAAACCGTGATTTGATGGCATAAAAAGCCCTCCGGGCCTTCTCATTCAAGGCCTTCACAGCCAGACTGAAGCCCCCTGATGCTGAGATCTCGATGCCCAGGTAAGTGTAGCTGCTGCTGTGCTCTAGGACTTCTCCTCTGTAACTGAACTGGTATCTGCTTCTCTGAGACCTGGCCTTCTTCTGGAACACCATGACTCTGGTTTTGTCCAGGTTGACCGTCAGTGCCCATTCCTCACAGTACTGTTCCAGCAGGGCCAGGCTGTGCTGGAGACCCTCGGCTGTGGGGGACATCAGCACCAGGTCGTCTGCATACAGCAGGCATTTGACTTCAGAGTCGTGCAGAGCGAGGCCCGGGATGCTGCCGGAGCGGTCCAGAGCTTCTGCCAGCTCGTTGATGTAGATGTTAAACAGTGTTGGGCTCAGACTGCATCCCTGCCTCACTCCACGGCTCTGCTGGAAGAACGCTGTTCTGAGATTCCCCAGTTTGACCGCACATCTACTGTTTTTATACATGGATTGTATAACATCAAATGTTTTTCCACCAATGCCAATTTGTAATAATTTGTATAGTAAACCATCATGCCAAATAGAGTCGAAAGCTTTTTTAAAATCAATAAAACATGTAAATATTTTTCTTTGTTTGCCCTTTAGATTTTTGTTGATTAGAGTATGGAGAGAATAGATGTGGTCGGATGTACGTTGTTTTGGTAAAAAGCCAATTTGTGATTTATTTAGGATGTTGTGTCTTGTGAGGAATGTCACTATGCGGCTATTTATTATATTGCAGAAAAGCTTTGCTAGGTTACTGCCCACACAAATGCCGCGGTAATTACTGGGATCAAATTTATCTCTTTTTTTATTTATAGGTGTGATCAGTCCTTCAGACCAGGCCTCAGG